AGTCTGTGTCAGAGACTGACCACAAGCGAAATTCTGCAGAAGCCAACATAATCACTCTCAAATCCATAACCAGCAACCAAAACTAGTCGTATAGACATCAAAGATAACATGAATCAGAGATTTGTGCAAATTGATCACTCAGTCAAATTGAAATTCTCATACCAGGAACTGTTTATGTACAAGAATTTTTCAGCAACCTACTCAACAATATATCATACATACAAGAAGAACCAACCCAGAATCGATACAAATTACCAAGCCAAAATCTCAAATGATCAATTATAATTCCGGAATCAGCATAAAACCAAATATATTCCACCCTAATCACAAAACCTAAGCAGATCGGAAGCCAAAACTAGATCTAGAAATCGAATATCTCAAATGATCAATCATTCCTGCAGAATCAAGCATCTAACCAAATTCCAATCGCATCATAAAACCCAGTCAAATCGAGAACCAAAACGAGATCGAGATCGTTACCATGGTAGGTTTGAATTCCTTCATCTTCTGCAGTTTTTTCAACTCCACCTTAAGCTTCTCTTGCTCAGCGTCTCTGCTCTCTATTTCCTCTACCTTCTTCCTCAGAATCTCGTCCTTCTCCTTAAACAACTCATCCGTTTTATCCTTCTCGATCTTCATCTTCTCTAACATAGTCTGCATCTCCATCAGATCTTTCTCGAACGACATCGCCGATTTCCCCTTGACGGAGACAGGCGACAACGGCGTCTCCTCCACGATCTCGTTCTTCTCCTTCAACGCTTTTCTACTGTTCCTTGGTTTCTTCGTCGGAGCTGGATCTGCGATAGTCGCCATGTTTAAAGTCGAAAGCAAGTGAAGAAGATGAGATTTCGAAATTTAGGGATTGTGATTTCGGTGGAGCCTCTGAGAAAAATATCTCTGGGTTTTATATACAGAGAAGAAATACCTAACGGCCTAATAATTCGAAATTCAAAATGTTTAGTATGGATTTAATAAATTTTGGCGTCCGCTGATTTGTTTATCTTTTTAATTTTGACTGCTGGACTTGAAAGAATGTTTCTCAATTTCCTCCTTGATAAAAAAACAAACAAAATTACCTTTGGTTATATTCAGAAACCAAACCGGTTTCAAACCGGTATTCTATCGGAAGATCTCATAATTTTTAGGAAAATCCGGTTCAAGAAATTATCTTTACACGGATACACACAATCTCGTTTTCCATATATATAAAAAAAAAAAGAACGTAAATAATGTTTATACAAAACCGGAAAAAATAAGAAATTAATGACCAAACCGGCTATGTTTCCTCCACCTGCTAGCTCTCAATAACCGATATCACATTTTCTCATACAATTTTTTTTTTCTTCCACAATTTTTTTTTTCTTCCAATTCATACAAATTTGGTCCGTGTTCGTCTATATATCTACAGAGAACCGGTTTTTAATTCTTTCCGGTTTAATGTATTGGCAATGAACCAATCACATTATGTTCGTCCGGTTCAGCCATTAACTATGAGCTCCAATATAACATCATTCAAATAATCAATAGGACCAGGCAAGCACCAATGCAGACAATCATTCTGTACCTTTGCATTTTTGTCTTTATCAAATGGTCTGAACTGTCGGTACGCACCCGGATGCCCATCGAGTCGGGTCAGCAACATCCCGGTGAAATCCAAAAGCTTTAGATTACCATCGTCCTGACCCATTTTCTCTCTAACCGCTCTCTTGAATTGACCAATCTCCACATCTCTTAGTATCTTATGTACATCCTTAATCTCAATCTCTTCATCGCTCACCGGTTCTGTTTGCTTACACGTCCCACCGCTATGCCATTCCCCGTTTTGGAAATGATCCGGAGTCGAAGTCCGGAAAAAAACCGTGCCTTTACGGTTAGTTTCCTCCGCTATGAAGTCCATGACATTTCGCAGCGTTGCGTTATAAGCATAGTCGAATCCTAACTCTTCCAAGTGCGAGTTTTTGGGACAGATATGGCAACCTACTGGTTTGGCATTTTCATGGTAAACCGCGGCTTTAAGAAACCATTTCCCGGTTGAAATGATCGCATAGTCAAGGCTCGGCATGAGATTGGTCCATGTCTCATCGAGTTTGTCAAGATGTAGTTGAACAGAAGCGGTCGAGACACCGTTTAAATCTTCGAAAATAGCGGCTTGGACTAGAAATGGCGACCAAATGTTGGATATAGTTAGGTTATGTAAAGGGAAATGCCATCTTTTCGATCTGTACTCCTTGTCGTGGTATACTTCAACCGGTTCTTCAACCTAGAGAGACCGAAAAAGAAGGAGGTTTAAAAAAGACTCTAAAAGTTTTAAAAAAAAAAAACGTAACAATGAACTGGTAAAAGCAAGCATTATACCGTATAGAGCATACAAAGCAAAGATTCGACGTGGTTACGCGATATGGAGTCACCAATAAATGCCCAAGATTTGTTCCTCATAAGTTGAAGAAATCTTCGAGGGTCAAAACGTGGTAACAAACAGTCATGAGGCTTCCATTTCCAGTAGAGAAAGTCTAAGTCAGGTCGACCATTGGTGATACAGTTTTGATGACCATCAATAAGCATACCGCACGAGCTGTTTGTGTACATCGGTCCTAATGAGTCTGGAATCCATTTCCCGGCGAAAAGATCGCACTTCTCTATTTCGATATCTGATTCAAGAAACAAAAAACAGAGAATCCTATTTTTAGGTCCAATGTCAGATCAAATTTAGACCAATCTAATTCAGCTAATTTTTAGGTCTTTAAAACATTTGCAGCTAATTCAGACCAATCTAACAGAGGATTTTACATTAGACATTTCAAGAAACAAATATAAAACCATCATAACAAGTTTTTGAATCTTAAGAATCAAACCATTGGAATAACTTCAAAATTAAACGAGCAAGATCCGTAAACAAAACTTTAGATCTTGCAGACAGATCAAGAAACATACTTACAAAACCTCTCTAGATCTCATGATTATGCTCATAAACAAGATTTTAGACACTAACACACAATGGATGATTCACATAGAAGTCAACTACTTTTCTGTCTTACCCTGAGGAATCAGATCTTCGTTTTCCGGGACGATAATCGCCGGTGGAGATAACCGTGCTACGAAATTTCCGGTGACGGACGCGAACACCGGAGAAAAGTCGTTGAAGTGGAAAATGAAGAGACGGAAAGCGAAGACTGTAATGAGGATAGCAGAGAAGAGCTTGATGAGAAACACATTCTTACGGATCATGGAGACTGAGATCAACTTCAGCTTCATCTGT